GGGAAAACACTTTTTCTTATTAATTTTGATGCGTAGAATCCAAAACGAGTCGTACTTTTTCGATTAGACTTCTCAATCAAAAGTTATAGACTAGAAATCAATTTCGAAAGAAAATTCAAAGGGCTGTAACTATTGAACTAGTAGCCCAATCTTGGAACTGTTTGAAATTATGGATTCCACAGGCCACATTCCATAAGAAAAATTTTTTCCGGGTCGATCTGAGACAATTTTTTCTTCGGGGCTCAAAAAAAGGCAGTTATAACCTTCCTTTTTTTTACCAAAAATCGACTGCACCAAAATTTCTCGGGAAAACACTTTTTCTTATTAATTTGGGTGCGTAGAATTCAAATCAATTTGTACTTTTTCGATCAGACTTCTCAATCAAAAGTTATAGACTAGAAACCAATTTCGAAAAAAAATTCAAAGGACTGTAACTTTTGAACTAGTAGCCCAATCTTGGAACTGTTTGAAATTATTGATTCTACAGGCCACATTCTATAAGAAAATTTTTTTTCCGGGTCGATCTGAGACAATTTTTTCTTCGGGGCTCAAAAAAAGGCAGTGTATAACCTTCCCTTTTTACCAAAAATCGACTACACCAAAATTTCTCGGGAAAACACTTTTTCTTATTAATTTGGGTGCGTAGAATCCAAATTAATTCGTACTTTTTCGATCAGACTTCTCAATCAAAAGTTATAGACTAGAAACCAATTTCGAAAAAAAATTCAAAGGGCTGTAACTTTTGAACTAGTAGCCCAATCTTGGAAGTGTTTGAAATTATGGATTCTACAGGCCACATTCTATAAGAAAATTTTTTTTCCGGGTCGATCTGAGACAATTTTTTCTTCGGGGCTCAAAAAAAGGCAGTGTATAACCTTCCTTTTTTACCAAAAATCGACTGCACCAAAATTCCTCGGGAAAACACTTTTTCTTATTAATTTTGGTGCGTAGAATCCAAAACAATTCGTACTTTTTCGATCAGACTTCTCAATCAAAAGTTATACACTAGAAACCAATTTCGAAAAAAAATTCAAAGGGCTGTAACTTTTGAACTAGTAGCCCAATCTTAGAACTGTTTGAAATTATGGATTCTACAGGCCAGATATTTTCAAAACTATTGAAGATATTTTAAATTTCTTTGCAGATTATTATTCAACACGAAAATTCGCAACTTTGCCCTCATTTAACCAAATGTCTATCTCTTAAGATAAGCGAGATCCCCATAGTGGCACTCGAAAAATGGACACCGTGTAGACTAGAAACCAATTTCGAAAAAAAATTCAAAAGGCTGTAAGTTGTGAACTAGTAGCCCAATCTTGGAACTGTTTGAAATTATGGATTCTACAGGCCAGATTCTATAAGAAACATTCTTTTCCGGGTCGATCTGAGACAATTTTTTTTTCGATGCTCAAAAATAGGCAGTGTATAACCTTCTTTTTTTTACCAAAAATCGACTACATTAAAATTTCTTGGGAAAACACTTTTTCTTATTAATTTGGGTGAGTAGAATCCAAATCAATTCGTACTTTTTCGATCAGACTTCTCAATCAAAAGTTATAGACTAGAAACCAATTTCAAAAAAAAATTCAAAGGGCTGTAAGTTTTGAACTAGTGGCCCAATCTTGGAACTGTTTGAAGTTATGGATTCTACAGGCCACATTCTATTAGAAAAATTTTTTTCCGGGTCGATCTGAGACAATTTTTTTGCGGGGCTCAAAAAAAGACAGTGTATAACCTTCCTTTTTTACCAAAAATCGACTACACCAAACTTTCTCTGGAAAACACTTTTTGTTATTAATTTGGGTGCCTAGAATCCAAATCAATTCGTACTTTTTCGATCAGACTTCTCAATTAAATGTTATAAACTAGAAACCAATTTCGAAAAAAAATTCAAAAGGCTGTAAGTTGTGAACTAGTAGCCCAATCTTGGAACTGTTTGAAATTATGGATTCTACAGGCCAGATTCTATAAGAAACATTCTTTTCCGGGTCGATCTGAGACAATTTTTTTTTCGATGCTCAAAAATAGGCAGTGTATAACCTTCTTTTTTTTACCAAAAATCGACTACATTAAAATTTCTTGGGAAAACACTTTTTCTTATTAATTTGGGTGAGTAGAATCCAAATCAATTCGTACTTTTTCGATCAGACTTCTCAATCAAAAGTTATAGACTAGAAACCAATTTCAAAAAAAAATTCAAAGGGCTGTAAGTTTTGAACTAGTGGCCCAATCTTGGAACTGTTTGAAGTTATGGATTCTACAGGCCACATTCTATTAGAAAAATTTTTTTCCGGGTCGATCTGAGACAATTTTTTTGCGGGGCTCAAAAAAAGACAGTGTATAACCTTCCTTTTTTACCAAAAATCGACTACACCAAACTTTCTCTGGAAAACACTTTTTGTTATTAATTTGGGTGCCTAGAATCCAAATCAATTCGTACTTTTTCGATCAGACTTCTCAATTAAATGTTATAAACTAGAAACCAATTTCGAAAAAAAAGACAATTTTTTTTGCGGAGCTCAAAAAATCATTTTTCGTTGCATGCTCACAGAATATTATAAACTACGCTGTTGTTTGGGCGCATTTATTTCATTTACAAATGAATTTTAATTGATTACAATGTCGGATCTAATTGGAGACATCATAAATAGCAAAGCAATGAGAGTAATTACATTGTCCGGGGAAACATCATCAAGCAACACAAATTCCAAACGAAGACTGCAATGCATTTTTTAATGAATCCAACAGATCCATGAAACAAAATTCCAACAAATGTAATTATTTTGTAGAGGCTAAAACTGAATAGATACGAAAGTTGTAAGGATTTAGGGGGGAATGGCGTCTGAAGAAGATAAATCGGTAAAGTGAAAACGATCGTGATGACTGCGGAATTCTGGAAAGGATTTAGATTGTAATAACACACCCAGATAAATAGGGGCCGTTGTCAAGTTAGTCTTGTTAACAAAGAACGTTCCCAACGTGTATGGGAAGTAAACAAAACGTTGACACGTTAGATGGATGTCTATTTATTAGATTCTTCCCTCTTTTTAATTCCAGCAAACAGGTGCTGTAACTAAATGAAGGAAGGTGCTGGAGAACATTATGCAAATCCAAAGCAACAGATGCTTATCTGTACTTAATCTGTTCATTCTCCGAATACTGGGCTTCCACTGGAAACTTCGAGAGGGAAATCTCACACACTTCGTATAAAAACACAAAGGAAAAGACACGTCGTAAAAATTTCATTTAAAGGAATAATTCAATCCAATTTGCCTGGTAAAGGGAACTTCTCCGCGTTGTTTTCGCAAATGTATTCCGGTAGTATCGGAAGAGTGTAATTAAATTAGAAAATATTTAAATAAAAACTAATTGGTTTTTTCCTGTTGCTAACTCTTAGGGAGACATTTATTTAAACTTCTCCGTTTTGGAAACGCTACCACCACCGTCTAGTTAATTAATCCTTCTGGAAGAACTTGAACTTAATTAAATCGAAAGTTACAATGTTTCTTATTCTGAATATTTCCCGCAAAGCGTGTAAAGGTTTTAAAGATTCGTTTTAAATGAGGAGCCGGTTGTGTGGGAGATTGACGGGAGGGGGATGCTGTCGTAATTAGGTTAGACGACACTGCCAATGTTTAATGAATTCATTACGGAATAAAATTTCCTTCGTCAACTTTGTTGAAATAATTGGCAATTAAACATAGGTATTGTGATATTCGAGTGTCTGTCATCGCCACTTATAATTGTTATCAAATATTTGAGGGGCGTATTCGAATTAAGCTTCAATATTAATTAGGACGGGTTTTTACTTTTTGTATTGAAACTGAAATCTCTGTACATTTTAGCTTTTCGTTTTACAATTTAGTTCAATTCAACATGACCAAAACCTTGTTATATGAATTTTAACAGATAAAAGCTTTACGGTATCATCTTTAACAACTCCTGCTGGAATACAACCCCTCTCTTATTCCAAACCAAAAGAAAAGCAGATTAAAACCTTTCCACATACTCCTTTCATTTTTATATTGTGTTTTTTCCATTATTGGTAGGTATGAAATATCATACAGTTTCTTGTCAAAAGAATGTAGGAAATTATTATCTATTTATCTCTTTAGAAAGCCTCTCTATATTCCGGCAGTTTATCAAAATAGACAGATGCCAAAATATGACACAAATTATGGAAGAAAAATGTCAAATTGTGAAATAAACGTTAATCGCTAAATTCAAATAACAACAGATTAACAAAGTTGTATTGATTAAACTGCACAGTGTAATTAGGCTGCTTCAAATTCGAAATACGTCTTTAGGGGGGTTACGTTCTTGCACGAAACCGCCCAACCCGTATCAGTTTAGCTTAATACAATATTAACGTCATTTGATATACAAGTTACTAGATTTATGTGGGAACTAACTTCGATTCAATGGTGCACGAAATAATTGATGAAGCTCCATGTTTGTCGGAGAACGTTGTAGTTTACTGCATCCGAACACTGAAATGGATCAACTAAGTTTACTGTTTTATTAAGCTCGCCAATTTGACTGTACAGTATTAACCTGATGCTTGTCAGCTTTGCTAAAGTTAGGTCAATAGTCCTTTCTCGGTCTGTATATGTAATAAACTAATTGAGTTTGTAGCAAGTGCGCGTTTACTCGGTAATGAGATTCGCGAAATAGGATTTTGTTCGTGTATTTGATTCCTAATCAATGAACATACTTTGTAACAGGATCACCACGACAACGAGGCGAGATGTCAAATCTTTGTTCATCGAAAAATCACTAGCCATTTATAATATGGAAGTAATATTCATACCTCATTAAAGTTGCATGGAATATATGGTGAAATTCAATAGAGAGCTAGAACAGAGATTGCGATTTGAGAATGAGAACGTAAATATTGGCCAATTTCACGCTACGGGCCACAAATACAGAAACATCATATTGCAACCTTTAAATATATTTTTTCTACTACTACTTTAGAATCGCTTCATACTTGCCATACTTTTAACAACAGAATGTCGCCTATTCTGTTATACTGAAGTGGAATAATTTCATTCTAACTCTTGTGATGGAATGAGCACATGTGGCGACATCTATTAATGATATCCAAATCACAATTCATAAATTGTCAAAATTTTAATTAAACTTACACCAGTTATTTTGAATTTTAATTGCCTGTAGCGCAAATTAGCAGCAGTGGTGGTCCAATGCAATTTTCAAATACTCCCCCGGAAATCACCGCGGCAGCAGAAAATGCCAAAACATTATTACTTCTCGGAAAATCAAAAGCAGTGTAGGGACAAATCTTTGGAGCGGGGGATGAGGAAAAAACACTTATTTTCAGAAAACGTAGTGTTGGCTTATATTATCACAGGCAATTAAAGCATCTACAACATTGTGCAAAACGTATCCCATGTTACGATCTAAATTACTTTTGAACAATAATGTCGACACAAGCAGCTACGCTAAGTTGCAGGCCCTTTTAAAAAGCAATCCAATCCTCATCAGATCCCGAAACACTTAGCGTTTTGTTCACAAGTCTTATCTTGAGGTCCACTCACAACAGCTTAAGCCACGTGTTTATCTTGAGGTCCATTCCTAAGAACATAAGCCACGAGTAGCTATACCTACCTACAACCAAACGTGTGAAGTTGCATATCGCTACAATTAATATACCTCACAGCACTATACGAAAAGAACATCCAAACAGGTAACAATAAGTCGTTGGTGATCCAGGACCAGAACAGATTTCCTCAGTAGGCATTACCTTGGGGAGCGTGAAAACTAACCTAAAAAGTAAAATGTAATGCCAACTAAAATGTTACGCTTGTCTATACTTACATACAAATGGGAGTAGTGTTAACATGTGCACATTTACCAAATGTCTACTTTAACCGTAATATGTACATTTTCGATTACTAAACACGTCTGTGCTAAACAGAAATACAACGAACAAACCTTTGACATTTCTTTCGCATGTGTAGTGAATCGTTCGTTCTGGGTCATTTAGACTAATGAGAGTCGCTCAAATGCCACATGGATTTGTTATACCTACCCACAGCATACAGAACTATTAGTGGATTGTCTACCACTAACTCTGGTCGGAATTTTACATATTTCGCAACAATTCGTTGTAGTAGTAGAAAAAATTATGTCTATGACTTGTAAGGAATAGGTATTCAACGATCGTGAAACCGTCACACTCGCCTTCGGCTCGTGTGACGAACTTTTCACTCGCGCGGAATACACCTTATTCCATACTCGTTATAGAATATACTATTCTTAAATGCTGAGTTAGTATACGTAGATCAATATGGGGAGAATTATCACTCAAATTTAAGTAAAAAAATACTTTTCGCAGCACAGTTTTTAAAGAGACTGTCCTGTTTCTTATATTGAGCCAATATGAAAAGTAAACGCTTATCCAAATAGTTAAGTAATATTTTCCATTATTTGTTATATTCTAAATATAGCAAAGGATACATTCCATATAAAGAAAACATAGCGCAGATAGCTACAGTCTTTTGGCAAATACAGTGCGATCAATATTGAGTTGCTGCGCCGCTTCAATAAATTATGACGTTAGTAATCATTTGCCGCAACAGGCCTGGTGCACCAATACTAAAACATAACCTTAAAGTAAACTTTTGACGTTTAACCATATTTAACCTAAATCAACGATTTAACCACCTTGCAAGTTTCCAAATTATGTGGAACTACACGAATAGCAAATTACTACGAAAATTGAAACGATTTTATTTCTTTTACAACTCGTTAATATCGAAGTAATTGGGCAAATTACATGCACACTATAACAACTGTTCGAAGTGCTTGCCACCATTATTAAGACAGGGATCCACTCTTTTCTTCATGTTTTCGAAGACGGCATGTAAGTGCTGTTGCGTAATGTTTCAAACGGTAGCTTCTATACCTGCTCGTAATTCGGCAATGGTGTGTGGGTTTCGAATACGTTACCATCTCGTAAATTTGCATGCAAATAATTTACGGTTACTTTAAAGGATAGAAGTACAATTTTCTCCAGGCAATAGCGTCACACGTTCCGTATAAGATGCCCGTTAGTGGGACAAATTGTCGCAGCTGCTTTTTCCGACTGCTCAAGACGAGCAACATCTTTTACAACCTCCTTATTAGCAATCACTAAGCGGCCAGGTGACTTCCCAGAAGCAAGACTTCCTGTATGTTAAACCGCTCAAGTAGATGATGAGCATTTCGGCGTATATTGTTGTAATCTTCGTCATGGTTGACAATCGTTTATCGAAACTCCTGTATACACAAACGTATCGAGTACTCCCAAACTCCACTTTCGTCTTTAGTCCCATTACGGAAACAGGACAGCAAACGCATCTTAGGTGGAATTCATAGATATTACTTAAGTTAGACTTACACTTTACTCATACTTAGCGTGTACTTAGTGGTATTCAAAGATATAGTTAAGGTGACGCATGACATTATTGCTATAGTAACGCTCGAAATTCTGACAGATACTAACAGTAAATATAAGTTTCACTTAAACTAAACTAAGTGTGCACTTAGTAAAGTGTAAGTCTCACTTAAGTAATGTTTATGAATTCCACCCTAAGTTACAGCTTTCATATTCCATCATTTCAGTCTGATTTTGACGTTTAAAAATCCCCGACGTTAATTTTCTATAAAACGCGTCTTTGGAATTCCTTCAGTCATAAATGCACTGTTTCGTTGTATAATAAACCATTACTGTCCCATAAAAGAGTTACATTTGTGCCCATAACAAACTTATTTGGCAAATGCATATAGAAGTTTATTTCGGGTGGGACTTTTACGACCTATACCAAAAATTTGTTATTTTACAGGGGGAAGAAATCACTTCCGGCCCAGCTTTCTGCTTCGGAATACTTAATTATTAACTGTAACAATGTATATTTGGGAAATAACGTAAAATGCATAAACGGTAATTGTTCATAAAAGCGATCGTAAAACTTTAAGCATCATCTCTCTTATATTACCTGTTTCGAGGAA